TTTAAGAACATCAAATTTCCAAGGGGCAACTATCAGACCGATAGTTCCGAGACATAAACACTCTATTGTCTTTATTGTTCACCACTGAATTTTCTTCCGTGCGCCAGTTCAAAAATCATATTGAATTATTTTCAACTTTTTTAGATGAAAGCCGTGAAAACCAAATGTAAAATTTGAAAAAGAAAACAAACAAAAACCCTCTATATAGAAATTTAATTGTTTATTTTCTATAAGCCCGCATGTTTACAGAAATATTTTCACGGACGATTATTATCCATCCGGGTATTTTCCTCGGACGGGCACAATGGGCTGACAGTGTCTCTCCGCGGATGAACACTATCGGTCACGTGATCAATTAAACCAACAAGAATCGGAGAAAATTTAGTGGTGAACTATAAGGTCTGATAGTGTCTCTCCGCCGACGAACACTATCACGTCACGTGATCAATTTAAACTAATAAGAATTGGAGAAAACTTAGTGGTGAGTAGCGTAGCATTTTACCTTTGTTAACAAAATGACGGCCGCTTCTTGGCGTTTTCGAAGAGTTTGTGAAGAGGATTTTAATGAACTTTTGAACGACTAGTAGATTTATACTAAAACAATTAGATTATTCGCTCTCGATTTCTATCCGTGATCGTAATCTCGAGCTCATTTTAATATGTTATTTCCCGGCGGGAAGCAACTTTTGTGTTGAGTTTTAATTAAAGCCGTTCAGTTCAAGTCTGGCGTAAGCATGCGTTTGACATTTCGGGCTCAAAAAGCGATAAAAAAAGCTTGAAAAGTTGTTAAAGTTAAATGCTTACATTTTACGTTGTTTTATGGTGTAACAAAAAGCTTGAAAAATTGTCAAAGTTGGAAATTTCGGAGCGGTCCGTACTCAGAGTCCGGATGGGAAAATCCGGACTGCAGGAGCGCGCGTGATTAGGCAATCAGATTCAAGGATTTAGGCTTCCGGACTGCTGAGAAGCTGGAGAATAAAATAAAATGAATTACTTAGTAACCTAGCTTGCTCGAGCCGTGCTGGAGATTATTGGCCCTCGGTCGTTTTTGTACGTTTTGCACCATACTGCAATGTCCCCCAGCACGACCTTCGTGTTCAGTTAGTAAGAGGTTAGTATAGTTGTTGCATCTAAGAATGGGATTTTTCTCTTTAGTATTCACCAGAGCATCTTGTTCAAGGACCTTCAAGGCTAATTTTCTAGCGGTAAATCTTACATCTCTAATCCTCCGTAGTGAAAAGGATGGCGGCTGTACATTTTACCACAATACCATGCGAGCCTAATACAGCCCGTAAAGTACAAGGAAAGCCAGATTTTTGCGATATTTGTCCCTATGCTATCGACATTGTGTATGTTAGGATTGAAGGGTTTGGAACGTTTCTCTACGTTTTTATGAACGTTGTTTAAGTTTCCGTGCGATAAGAATTATGGGTAAATGTACCAGTCGCCATCTTTTTTTCTTACGGCGGATTTAATCAGTTCAATGTCTTTTTTTCGTCCCACTGTGAACGTCAGTACTTTTGGCCATGAAATCGGCATGAACCATTCATAGCAGGTCGGCGTTTGGCGATCTTCCGATGCAATGAAATGTTATTATTGCGTGAAGTAGTAGGATATGTTGTCTGATAAAGCTGCAATTTTATTCTGGGCTATTTCACTGGTTTGACAGGTACTGAAACAATCATCCAATTCAGTGTCGGGGTACAGTGGAAAATATTTACCTTCCGAGTTCTACAAAAAGGTGCTTTAGATATGACCAGAAGCATAGGTGATATGCTTCTGATATGACATCATTACTCCTTCAGGTGTATGCATTATACCCTCATGGTAGTTTCGACTTCAACTCGTCAAATACCTAACCGAAAGCTTTTGGGCGGAGCTGGTGTGTAGGCTATACAAACACGTAAAACAAAGCAGCTTTCTTTCAGTCGACCGCGTTTAGTTTCGTCTGTTTTGGTCAATAATTTTGATTAATGTTCTGGGAACGCTGCTGACAAAAAATCGTTATAAATCTACCAACGCGGGTTTACCGAGAATCCATGACAGATGCAAAATAAAAAGGTTTCGGATTATAATGGCATTATAATCCGAAGCTGCCTATTTTGGATCTGTCATGGATTCTCAGTAACCCGCATGGCTATCGCTCGTCTTCAGTGTTCTTCCTTTTTTTGTAAACCCACAACTAGTACGTTTTCAAACAAGCAACAATTCTGGACAAGTGGAACTGTTGAAATATTGACTTTTATTAACGCTGAGTACGGCTTACAACTTTGTTAAAAATTCTAACTTGGCTCCGAGGCTTTGGGGAATAAAACAAAACCAATTAATTATTCATTCCTTATCCTAAATGCGATTTCTTCTTTATTCCCTTCTTTAAGTCTCAGAGCCGCGTTACAATTTTAATATATCGAAAATGGCTCATTTCTCCTCGTTTTGCCCGAAAATAAAAATGATATCAAAATCTCGCGAAGAGTCAATACCATGTCCACTATAAAGAGCATACAGTTTACGATCGTATGAACAGCAAACCTTCCTCATACCAACAAATCACTGTAAACAGTTGTACAAGTCTTGACTTGCTGGTGTCCAGCTTTTTGATTTTAGTGCATCACTTAAGGCATAATTTGATAGTTCAAATTATCCCGGCGTTTATCCTCAGATGCGATTAATTCTTGGCTTATTTTAACGTTTCCATAACTAGTCTTTTTAAAAAATAACTAAGTGGCGAGTATGAAGATTCTAAGAGATCCTGCTTGCGGTGTCTGACGGCACTCTATTTCCACAGCTACTAACACCAAATATCTCCATGAATTACTTTTACCACGATCTTCTATAGCTTTTACTCTTCTCTATGGCGTTCAAACTATTGTCATGACATCACTAAGACACGAAACGAGCCTATTTTTTTCAGACTAATAGTTGAAACAAATCAGAACTCCACAGAAAAAAATGTCATAATCTAGGAGATTTACGCACTAGATGGATTTCTTTTGATCCGAACGTTACTGGGTGGAGCGTCCTTCTTTAGTCAATGGAAATGTTTGGCAGATGACCAGTACCTACTTCAATACTAGCGTGACATTTACAGTTGCTTCATTCACACATTGTTTGTAATCTCCTTATAAGGCAACTTGACGAGTAGCTGGGGCAGTTTACATTTGAGACAGGAAGTGAGCTCGTCCGTTGTCGTCAGGTCTTAGAGTCAGGATGTCACATCCAATGTCCGTCACTAGCAAGGTCTGTTCAAACTGAGCCGATCTCTTACCATCCTAAAAGGAATGATTATTTGAATTATTATCGGACGGGAGCAAAAGGTCTTGAAGCATGGTTTCCGTGTTAAATGGAGACAATGATCATGGCAGCACAATGTGGAGTGATGGCATATCGTATAAGCCCCTGGCTGCCGTTCCTCGCCTAGTGATGCGAGTAACCATGTCACCCATAATGCCACAGAAAAAAAATTTTCTTTTCAAGAAAACGTCTGACCAAAGAATCCACTATTGACAGACCGCTAGTATGTGGAAAAGCAGATTCATAAAAACACATTTATACACTTTCTCGCCTAAAACTTCACGATTCTTTCATGACTTTCCGGGATTACCATGACAAACCAAATACATGTTTCTTATATGAAAAATTCTCCTTTGTTCCAAACAAAACCATGGATTAACCAGAAATTAATGGCTTCATTTTTTGTGTGATCGCAACACTCATCAAGGCCAGCCTGTTCATATCATCTACTTTAGTCTTCAGGTTTGCCTCTTTATGTCTCGCTGATCAAACAACCGTCAAATATCATGAAGTTTAGATACCTGTGTAACTGCCGTCCAGTTATCAGGCCAAATCTCATCTCGCCAAGTTCCTGAAGTCAATACATTTTATAGCATTAGTGAATCTTACAGGAGGTATAATTAACAATAATTGAGTTCCAAAAGTAACGACGCCTTTGCTTTGAACTTCAGTGCCAGGATCTTAAATCTTGTCTTATACCTTGAAACATTTTGCCACTCATCACCACAATCAGCAGCATAATCGTGAAATTACACTGTTACAAATACAGCGGATATTACGTGAACTAACAAGAGATAAGAGAATTATTTTATAACATGTTACTTCCGAAAATCCAGCGCTGTGTAATTGTATTGCACATGGTCAGGGTAACGAAGCACAGTAAAAACAGCTTGCTAAACCAGTCTCCTAAATAGCACTACAAACGAGAGAAAAATTACGGTATTTATCTTCTTCTGTCCAAGTATATACACGATTATTATTTTTTGGAAGTACCACTTGTACAGAATACTGTCCCTAACTGGAACTGAGGCAGTGAACGTTCAAGCATGCTGTGGGGTCATCTGTCGATCTGTGGACAGAATACATCATCCATACCTTGTGAAATCATTGGTTCTATGGTAAATGTGTGTCCTGGCTTCATAACACCAACGGCTTTATTTTCTGTAAACAATAACAATTTTGAATGCACAGATAGATGCTTCAATCAGTAACTCAAAAGGTCACTAGCTATGTACGAAAAGGAACTGTTAAGGAAGGTTTGATTTAGACAATACAAAAAGAAAAATTCATATACACGTATGTTAATAGACGAAAATTCTCATTTTTACACTCTAAATGGCCAGTTGGATATTCTTGGAAATAATAACGCTATCTTTACTGTGTTTTAGAAATGTCTGGTACGTGCTCTCAAACTACAAAGTACTTTGCAAAATGTTGGACGAGTCTTGCTTCAGGACCTCACTTCCTAACATACAAACCTAATATGTATATGTACAGTGCAGGATATATGTGTATGTTTTGTATTGCATCAATGACAGATACCAAGTCAAGGCTTTCCATCTTCATATGGTAAAACCTGTCACAATCTGCTGACAGACTAATAACTAAAGGTAATCCACAAATAGAGAGGGTGCGTCAAGGATCAAGAGATAGTTCTTTGGCCTGGCTTGTTTGAAAGCCACTTTGTACTTCATGCAAGACAGGGTTAAATCTCGCTAACCAAGGAGTACAATTTATTTCTGGGTTGTACTTTGTTCCTGAAAGCCCAGTCAACGCCATTGTAGGAATAAGTGACGCTTCATCTAACAAGGTGACTTACCTGACTACTGGAGTAAATAAAAATCCCAAACCATACAAAACGGTAGATCTATTGTTTGCTAATTTGGTTAATGAGCTATTTCATCCACAGGCTGTATGACCCAGCAGCTAGGCTGTTCACAGTGCTAATCACAAGCTACTTTAATCAGCTTGCGGGTGTCAATGTACTTACTTGAATAATGAGGAACACTTGGTGCAGTATGGAACAACCTGTCAAAAGATAACGTCACACATTAACATGTGACTGCAGTTCATATAAGATAATCATTTACTTACTCATGAATTCCATGGCCACAGTAACTCTTCACCACAGAGAAGCCATGTGCTTGGGCATGCTTTTGAATTATGTTACCAATCTCTCTGTATTTAACACCAGGCTTAACTGCAACAGATTATAAAAGTTCTGTATCATTATTATTAAAATGGTAAATATTTGAGAGGGCCAATATACCAATAACTGCAATTCCGACATGTTCGAAGTATTGAAGTGGGTTACATTTTCACAGCTTTTCTCAATCATAAAGTTACAACTTGTTATTAGCTTGATCAGGACCCTACTGAGAGAGCAGTGGTCTTGTGCTTTTTCTGGCAGACCTCACAATGCCATGAGCCTGGGTTGACATTCTTCCAGTGAAGTCCTCATACTTAGTTTATTACTTGCCTGCTCTCATAATATTCTCAAAGGTGTCATGTTTCTGGCTCTCAGTGCTTAACACAGAGTTGTTCTTTCTTGTTGCAAACCGTATCATTAGAGTGCTACTCTATTTTAAGCCAAAGCTTTGCCCTCTACTAACATGCTGTCACGTAATGGATATGGTAATTAAAGACAGGTTGTGAACAGGACATCAAGATAATTTAGGAGTGACTGTGTTTCCAATAGTTCACAACCAATCCTGAATGCTTTGGAAATTCCTAGCAACAAAATGTCTTTTGTCACTCAGCAGCAGATTTATCCCACAGATTCCTCAAACTTATGGGTGAAATACCCATTTCATCTATATACTGCAAATACAGTACCATTATTGATTTAAACAGATTTTTCAGCTTCATTCTCCTGTTTCAACAGTTGAAGGGAGACAATGATACTGGATTCTAGGTCAAAGTACCTGCTGCTATGGCCTGGTTGATGCACTCATAAGTCACCTTGACCAGCTGTTTGCTTTCTTCATCCACTTCACCAACAAAGTATGTCTCGTTCAGATCTCCATGAAACCCATTGTAATATATAGTGATGTCAACTACAGATTGAAACACAAGATGAAAAGTTATTCTCAGGGTAATCAACATATGAAAAACAACTATTTAAACTGCATACGTTGGGGTCAATGCAACATTCAACACGTACTGTGAGGTTCCTCAAAATATCCACACCAACGTCATGGAAAGTCGTTGGAAATTTCAAGAGGCTGGGGTGTCTTAAAAGCCAAAAGTTTTAAAGGGAAGCATTAACCAAAAGGGAATTTTAAGCAGGGGTGAGATGGACTTATAGATATTTTCTGAAAGAACACATTCACAATCTGTAGTAACTGACATTATTATCCAACTGCAGCGAATACTGTCCAAATAACAGTACAAATATACAGCGATATTGTACAGTTATTTGTACGGTAGAAAACCTGTGTGCACGCAAAACTGTCACACTCTCCCTCTTTCATTGAAACATTTTATTGACTACAGCAGCTGGATAATAAATCTCTTATTAGATGTTTTAGTGTGTAGTATCGCTTTATATTTTTACTTGTTGTTTGTATTTTGACTCGCCCTATGGGCTCATCAAAATACAGCACAACTCGTAAAAATATACAGCGACACTACACACCAAAACATGTAATAAAAATATATGTAACTCACTGGAAAAAAGCAAAATAATTGCAATATGTATTGAGCAGCTTTTTGCCAAGTACAAATTACGTGTATTAATTTCATAAGTAGTAGGAATAAAATTGCCCTCCCTCTCATTAATGCTATCGTGATGCTGCTAATTACCCACTAGTCATTGACCCTGTACATCAACATGTACATGAACAGCTTAGCAGAAGATTTATGTGAAGAGTATCCCTAAAGCAAGGGTCAGACTTGTTACCAAGGAAACAGCCACTAAGCTGGAGAATATAATCTACAATACCCTTAGAAGACAAAACAACTTACTGTTCAACAGATCGCCGTTCTCCAAGGGTCTCAAGTCAGGAATACCATGACAAATTACTTCATTGACAGATCTGTTTCAAAACAATAGAGTTTACAAATAATCTCAGATTGTGCACAGTCAGGGCAGCAAGCACTTGAATGAAGAAATGTTTGTGCAAAACAGAATTATGGGATTGAAAAGAGCACCATTTTGTGTCTAATAAAGTCGTTATCCCCAAAATTGTTCAACAATTAAACAATTTATAATTCTGCATTCCAAAGCACAGGTTACATATATTACATACACTGTACTTAAGAAATAGAAACATGTACCCTGTTTCTATCGAGTTATAGAAACACGAGTGGAAGTTTGGGAGAATGAGAAATGCTGTGAGAGCACAAGCTCCAGGCGAGTGTTTCCACAGCTTTTTCGAGTTCTCCCAAACTTCCACGAGTGTTCTATACTTGATAGAAACATGGAGAACATGTTTTCTAATTCTCTTAGAAAACACAGTGACAACAAAAAAGAAAAACAGCTTGTTTACTTTGATCATCAAAATGTAAATTCTCTTTGCTCTTGCCATCAATACATGAACAGTTCGTGCTAGTTCTGTGCTTCTATCGAGTTATAGAAACACACTTTTCAACCAATCAGTGCACATATTTTCTTAGGGCTGTTTTCTAAATTAAACATACATGTATTACTCATATTTTAAGGGCCATTGACTTGTTGACTTGAGCATATTCATACTCTCAAAAGCAACATAAAAGTAGTAGTAATCAGAGATCATGAGAGTGTGTTCGACACCCTCACTTTAATATATATACCTTAAATAAACAATTTCACCAGCTGACATTCAACCGTTGTCTCGGCAACAACCAAGGTTTTACAGTCAGATATGCTTAATGTCAAAGTCCATGCTAGTGAAGAGGTCACGATTTGTTGATAAGTTGCGTGATGCCCCCAGTTTCCGTAGACCTCATAGACTCACAAGTTTCATAGAATATTTAAATTACGAAGTACATTATTCTAAGCTGGAAGCACAAATTTAAGCTGGCATTTGCAATCGCGTGCATGTCTTATCACATGTCTTAGCATTAAACGGTACCAGTTTACTGGCTGTGCCATGCCCCTGCAAAAATCAAGTGGGGTGGCCATTTTGGTGTCCTTACAGGAATGTGGATTTTTCTGCATATAACCATGCACAGGGAAACCAACTCTAGAAAGCCGCAGGTCAAAATTAGGATTGCGTTCTTCGAAGGCAATTAAAAGACATAAATATGTGTCAATCTGCAAGAATAAAGCTTGCAATTGTTTGAATAATTGTGTTGACTAGCAGCTAAGATCAAACACACACCTACAGGACCCTCACCAATCTTGTCCCCAAAGCCCGAACATTTACTGTCAGCAGTGACCACATGCCCAATGCTCTGGGTAAATAAAAAACTGCAACCAGAAAATCCTGGTCCTGATTTGATTTTGCACATGCATCCAAGTATGACAATGGTTCCTATTTTACGTTTTCAGCAGGAAAGCAATTGGTGTTCTCAGGCAGGCAAATCTTTTAGTTTAACATTCGTTACATGTATATGTAAAAAAAATTCTTCAAGATGTGAACTAAAAGCAGGTAAGCAAATTGTGCACACAGCTGGTCAATTTGCTCCGTGCCTGGCTGTTAATAAAACACCTGGTTTGTGAACATGTGTAGAGAGAGGAGTTGTTTCAATTAATGCTGGCTCATCTTTTGATTTTGCCCAGAGGTCCTTATATTTGGTGTTGACCAAAAGAACTGTGGCATCTGGGAATGATCTCAAGGACATATACTGGTGTCTGCTTTCTACACAACTGTAGACTGAGGTGTCTGCTTCAAAGGTGTTGGTTCGCAGAAAATATAGGAAGAAAATATTGGGATCTAGTGAGGCTGGTGTCTGCTTAAGGAGGCTGGCAACTGAACAGTTTCCAGTACTTTTCCAACAGCTATACTTTGATGAATGAATACTACCTCTGTTTGTCAAGTGATGCTACAATATTGGTATCACGTAAATGCCCCTGGAGCCATTGGTGAACCAATAATGATAATCTTTGTGGCATAATAGGTTACCATAGCAACAGTATAACCTGTTAAAAACACCCTTAATTTTAGCTTTAAGAGCTTATAACCCAAAAACGAGTTCAGGGACCCCCATTTGTTATTAACAAATTGTAATTAGCATGATAAGGTGCTACTCTTTGCAAAGTTTAATAAATTCTGCATTGTGAGTTCAGAGCTGCCATAAATTTTCAAAAATTTATGGTGCTATCCAAACTTTCTGTGTGCATCCATAACTCGATATACGCGTGCTAAGCATGAACCAATTCTCTATTGACCAGGAATAAAATAAGCTAAATGTTCTTATGAATAAGCTGCAGCTCAATTAACAAGGAGCTGACAATGTGCAAGTTTTTCAGAAAGTGAAAGACATCCACCACTAACTTACGTGCAACATGACTTTGGAAATCCATGATAGTTAAGTGGAGATGGATAACAGTTTCTCTCTAGACAAGCCTGTAGAAACAGACAAGGGTTATTTTATGCTGACAGTTCTATTCCTGTCTATTTAAGTGCATAAATATACATTGTATCTTAAGATGACAACTAAAAACACATACAGTTGATTATTTGATCAGATCATCCAGTCTGATGAAAATAATGCTGTGTGCTTTGTCTGTCATTTAGCAACCCATTCAGGGTGAGCAACAACACTAGCAAAGACTAAAGAGCTGGAGAAAGGTGTCTGCTGGTCTGATACTTGTACCACCTAATATGAGCAAACATTTAATATATTATAGTGCACCTCGTGAACAATCCTGTCCAGTTCATCAGTGGTGATGCCAACTTTGACATTTCTTGCAGCAGTATCCATTACTTCCCTTGCCAACTATAAATTAAAGTACAATAATAGACAAGATAACCATCCGTGAATGGGTTCAATAAAATCTAGTGTTAGTAAGAGAACTTCAACACTGATATCCTGGTTGTTCAGAGCAGGATCAAGCAAATCTATGCCAACTAACATTTAATTTTAGATTTATAAAAATGTAATATCTAAAATTATCAAAATAAGTAATAGTATTATTGGTCACAATTTCTTTTAGCACAAACTGGACCTTCAAATAACTGTGGCAGATAAGAACACTTCTGGTAATAATTATTATTGAAATATCATTGCAATATTATAATAATTCAGGGTTCCAGATAAGTTTTCAAAGCAGGGTGTCAATAAGGGCCAATTTCCACTGCTTCCACCAAATCATTACAAATTTTTCTAGCAATTTGTCAGGTTATGTAGCTGACCTTGTCAGGTTTTTGACCTGAGACCTCACTTATCTGGAACACTGTAATAGTTAATGAAATATAAATATAAAAATAGTTATTGGCTTTCGAACAACTGGGTCCACATCAGCATATTGCTGTCACTTCAGACAACTGATCCACATACAATACAATAAACTTTGTTTAAACATGGTGAGGATTAAAGCTGCAACCTTGCTGGGCCATGTAGTCTCTTCTTAAAAGCTCCTTAATTTAATAGTGCCTGATTTAATTGAATATTCAATTTTGATTAATATACCCACAGTGGGATTTGACTATCGTAGAGTTCCAATGGAAATAAAAACATGGGGTGCTGAAATAATAAGGGTGATATAATTGGTGATATTTGGAGAACATGTCTACTATTTCCTGATAAATTTGATGAACATTTTGCCTAATAAGCTACGCTACAGTGTGCCTTATTTCTACTCATAATAATTATACAGATAATTATGCACCGATATATTTACATGTATTTTCTACATGTAGATAACCTTACTCTGCATGCAACACGCATTTTCTCAATCTCCTCCTCATTAAGAACTTTAATCTGCATGCTTTGCTTGGATTTGATTTCTGACAGAGGGACACCTGAAAACAAAACTCTCATTAACCTTTTAAGTAAGTGCTGGCATAATCTCCAAAGTATCTGATCAAAATTACAACTTCATTAACTAAATTGCCCAATATGATTTACAATGCACATGTTCTGCTTCTAAAGGCAACCAAAATGGTTGCAAATTGGAGAAATGCAAACAGATCACCTTTCACACTACCAGTGGTAACAAAATTCAGGCATTAAGGCAAGGTACTACAGGTAACATATGAGTAATAGTAGTTATAGCTAAAAATCAAGTAGACAGAGTTCTCATTTGCACAATATTTTGCTGAAACTTGCAACATGAGTGGTGATATGACCAATAATGCCGTTCAACTTGCAATGCAGCATTCTGACAGAAGACACCATGTAAATGAAATACTCTGGGATAGTCCACCAAAAGTGACACGTTTTGAGCATGTGGATGAGTGCGATACTAGTAGAAAAAGTTTCAATTTCACTCCTTGACAACTAACACTTAGGACCCTTTTATCCTGGTGTGGGGGGGCAGGGGGGATAGGGCTGCTCATCCTACCCGATTCTTTATTCATTGTTTTACCATTTTAGTTGCACTACTTATGACGTCATCACTTTCCTAATTTGCATAATACAAAAATGTCAATATCTCTGAAACAAAAGAAGATATTCCAAAAAGGAAAATGCCATTCTCCTTTATTTTGAAAAACCTTTCAAATAAGCAGCAATCATTTTTCATTTCATAGGCACCTTAAGTTGTACATATAACTGGTGATGATCAATCATATCTTCATGTCTTTCTTCGCAGTTCAAATGTATAATCTTTCACATATTCACTTGTAACAACAACAACTACAGCCAAACATTTATTTGCCACAAGAATACAATGTCAATAGTGCCAGAGCATAAAAGGGTTGGGAATGGCAGGAATAAGGCCTTAATATCTGGTCCTGAGGGAAAGAGCTAATTTTGTTTCCCAAAATTTCTACCTCAAGGAAATTAATGTTGGGATACAAGAGAAACACAATTATTTGGTTTTCCACACAAAGAAATTTAGTAGATCCATGTGTAACAGAGGTCATCAGTCCATATACACAGTATCCTCTGGCATCATAGACTAGCAACTTTTGGTGGGAAACATAACTTTTCATTTGTTTGTTAGATTCACGTGTCCTCAAAGTAGCCAATGAGATCACATGTTGATAGGAAGAGAGTTACAGCTACTGACCAATAGTATTGGAAGTTCGTTAACACAGATTATAACTTTTAATTAATAACTCCATAAAATCTCCTTGATACACTATAATAATTAATAACATGCACAAACCAGTTTCTGCATAGTCTGGTTTCTGGATGTGGTCTGGTACCTCTCTCCTAGGAGACTGAGAGCAACAATAACCATTAATTAAACCATTAGCTCCATTAATTGAACTTAATGACTGCAGGTCACAAAGTTGTCTTCAGTTTGAACAAGCCAGAATACATGAAACAAATTCAGCAATTTCAGTTACAGACAAGCACTCGTCTAATGACTCTTAATTTAAACGTGAAAGTGCTTAATTATCAATACAGGGCTGTCAATAAGTTTTGAAGTAATATATCAAACACAAGAGACAGTGTTTCACTGGGATATCCGAACACCAAGAAGAGAGAACTCAAGGTGTTTGGATAGCTGATGAAACACTGTCTCAAGTGTTTGATATACATGTATCTTCTAAATCAAAACAAAACCTAAGAGTTAAGGGAGAAGTAAAATCGTCAAAATTTATGCTAATTAAGACCAGCGGCCCATTTCTCCAAATCCCTGGAATCTTTTCCGGCCCAAAAAGTCATTTTTAGTTAATTGGTATTTAAAGACAGAGAGGTGTATAAGCCTGAAACTTCTTGTATAAAGAGAACCTCTGTTCTTATTAGGAATATATGAATAAAACAGTTCTGTAGTCAAAAGGTTTGAGATTTTGCTACAGCTTTTCAGGTGCGAAAACTTTTCGGAACCTTCAAGAAACCGGCCCCAGATATCCAAACTTCCTTCACGGTACCATTGTGATTTTCCTTGTTTTAACTTGATGAATTATTAATGAGTTTGAGAAGTAGATGTCCCAAATTTCAAAGAGGGCGGTAGGCTACTTTTCAAATGCTGAAGGAACTAGCCTCCTAAGCGGCCTGGGTCATGCCCCCTTGAAATGATGGACTATTTTCAGCGTTTTCCAGTCAGTATTTGGGCCTAGAGAACAATCAAACCTTTGACTTTTTTTTACCACGTTATAAAATTAAAAACTTTCACTCAAAATCTCACTGGTCTCAACCAGAAAATCTTTCCTATTTATAATCTTCCTGTGAATTTGGTGTTATCCTTTCTTTCTGCTGAAGACGAGAAGACCTTGGGAGTTTTCTCCTGTGCCTCTTTTTCTTCCATAATGCCTGGATAACATCATTGCCTTGTTGACTACCGCTTTATATTCTTTTACTGGTGGCCCACTAATGGAAATATGAAGTAGACTTGAAATCCTTTTTTCTTAAGTGTATTTAGGCATTTTAGGGTGCTGCTCACTCAGCTGAGAGTGAGAAAATGTACTTGTCAATGATGGCTTCCATTTATTTGGCCCAGATGCCATTTTAGTACATGTAAAAGCCTGGGTTTCAGTTCTGTGAAACTGTTCCAGGCATTTCACAACACTTCAATCTATTAAATGCTTCCATCACGTGTGGGAAAGGAAAATGAGTTAAAACTCTTGAAATACATCTTTACCTCGACTCAGACGTTATGATAGTTTTGTGGGAGCTTTTCATTTTTTTTTTTTAGGTTCCAAATCAAAAGTAATGGTAAGGTGAGACGAAAGTAGGTAGCCAAAATTGGCCAGTAGCCAGCTGTTTTGGCCAGTTACCAGCCCTTATTGACAACCCTGAAATAATAATTATTTCAAAAATTTTGATGCCACACTGATTGCTTAGTACATTGCAACTACTGAAAGTAGATTAAAATAGTATCATTCAATCAGTACAATGTACATGTTCATTCTAATTACCACATCTTTATTCACATTATAGCCAGATAAAAGTTGACTTCACATGATTGCTGCTTACAGAGTCTGATTATATTGAGTAGACGAACATACATTTTGGGCCACGCACTCAGTTAAGTTTATTTGAACTCAATTTTGAAAATCATATTTGTCTGTCATCAAATACAGTTCACTGTGTAGGAAATAGAACATCACCAAACAGGAATAACACTCCACATAAACAATAATTATGTTAGAATTTGCTACTCAGGGGATTGCACAGAACACATTTAACCATTACGGATCATGTATAGTTTTCACCCTAAATTGAATGATATCTTTCCTCCTAGTACTGCGTTTAGAAAAATGCTTTTTTCACCTAAATGTTAGGGTTAAACTGTGTTTTACCTTTGGCCAAGGTCTCAATACTCCTGTGAATTTATACCCAGGCCAGGGATTGTAGTTCACGGGCTTCATATCCTTTATCGTAGCTTCAATAAACAAAATAAAATCAATATAACTGATGTATGAGTTACCACAAAAATTATAATTATACCAACAATGATAGTAGAATTGTTTTGCTAAATTTGTCAATTTGACTGGTGTTATCATGATATAAACTTACCTTGAATTAATTATCTTGTTTGCCTGCATTATGGTTGTCACATGACTTATGACTTATATGTAACCTTTTTGGTAATCCACCGTAGGAAAAAAGATGGAGGCTGTACATTTTACCNACGTTGTTAAGGTTTTTGTGCGCTAAGAACTATGGGTAAATGTACCAATTGCCATCTTTTTTCCTATGGAGGATTAAAGCAGGTTCTTGTGAAAGCACAAAGCTGTCTGGTTATCTTATCAATTAGTATTATTATCTTACAGTACTACATAACATATTACCCACAGTACAGTGTTTAATGTGTCACGAAATACCATGAAACATATGTGCATGTGCTGAAATGTAATTTAGTGTGATACCATACACATGGATAAACTTTATTGTTTTCAGTAAAATCCTGTTTTAATTAATTTTGACATATTTCCACATTATTAGCTTGAATTAAGCTTGTTTAGGGGCTGCTCAACAAGTGAACTCCTTAGATACTGCTAGGAACACCACTGACACCTTCGACCAGCTACCGATTCAAGTAAAGAAGTACATGTACAGTCAAAGTTTCTAATTTCATTAAAGAGGCAGCTTAAACAGGACTTTTTAAGGACAATAATACTAAACACACATACTGAAATCGAATGTAGGTAATATCCAGAGCGTAACACACCCCTTACTTGTAATGAGGATAAAGTCTGCATACAAGCCAAGTAGCCCATCAGGCTGGAGCTTATCCTGGTTTCTGTAGCATGAAGCGACTAGGAGTATTTCTACTCCACCCTGGATAGGATGCTAGTCCATCGCAGGGTAACCCCCAGCATTAAGTTTGCTGGTACCCATTTATACACCTGGGTGGAGAGAGGCACTGTGAGAGTAAATTGTCTTGCCCAGGGCTGGGGATTGAACCTGGACTGCTCGCTCCGAAGACACACTAACCACGAGGCCACCATGCCTCCCAGTAATATACAATTAAATTACTAATTAGCTACCTGCAGCTTTAGCTGTCTTGTGCACTTTCTTGTGTTCATTCCAGTTTTGCTTGAAGCAATCCTGGAAATAACAGAAGGGTAAACAGCAAGCTCTTTCTTTCAATCATGTGAGTTGGATGTAAAATTGAGAAAGAAACCAACTACGGTTTACATGTCTTTAAAGCATAATAATAGTATCAACTTACTGACATGACTCAAAATAATCTGGTAGTAAAACATATGGTAACAAATAGTAAATTGTCAACAAAAGGTGTCAAAATTCTGTCAGATATCACCATTGATGAAACAGTACATCAATAAGCTCAATAAAATTAAACAGTAGAGAGATGTGAATGAATAAATCTACATGATTCATTTAAATGAATGTTGTCAGCTGGGAAATGAGTTCAAATGGGCCTGTTTGTGTTGACATCAACCACATCCAAATGTTGAAATATCAGAGATTGCTGAAAGCAATAAGCGACCATTGGGCCCAAAGGCCCAGGAATTTCCGAAGGAGGGGAGGGGGGTTGTCTCAATGAATTTTTTTTCCAGACCGGTCTCAATTTTCATACAGTTGTACGTAAAGTTTCATTGTTTGCATTTTGCTTCTCGAGTCGTGAACGCAAAAGAATAAATCTTGCTAAACATTTAAAGCACAGAATGAATATTTTTGTACTAGTTAGGCTCGATATTCTGTCGCTGCTAGAGTCAGATCATTTTCCTGAGTAGTGGCTGGTGATCAAAGAGCATGTTGTGGAAAGTAGACGAGTTAATCGTGACTGATTGAAAATATGTCTGTCGCTCTTGACCAAGTACTTCTGTCACTCCTATTTGTATTGTTTCAGCTGGAAGATTTCGTCGCATTTTTAAGTTGTCATTGCAAGCATGAAAAATAGTGTTTGAACTGAGAGAGTGCATCAACATTGAATTAGCAGAAATTTGGAATCGGCAGATAACAGACCTCTTATCTCATTAACAATGATTCTTGAATGAGGAAAACAGTACAGTAACAATTATAGTTCAGGAGGCAAATATATTTTTAAGTGAGCCGTAAATCAGCAGAAATTAGATAGATGACTTGCTGCTTCAATATTTCCGCATAAAAGCCGAAGACAAGGGAAAAAAATTTGTTTGACACCCATTTTTAGTGATCTGAATTCTTTTAATCCCAATGCAGGACTGATATTTGAAAATATAAAGCAGACCAAACCCGTGTTTCTCGTGATCTCAATTAGCCGTTGCTAATATTGATATAAATATTGTGTTTACACCAAACGAAGCGTGTTTTTCGGTACTCACACGATAAAAACCTGTGGCAAACGTTTGCTGGAATTTACTGCCAGAGTTATGAATGTTCACTGTGACAATACTGTGGTGTACTTCCCCGGCAAATTGAAGAATTATTTTGCTAATCGCTCACGCAACTCGTACAGCAAGATCAAGAGCAAAGAGCTACATAAGAAGAATATTTGGCACTGCAATGTGACAACCCAAATAACAGTGCAACTGCAAGGGACACTACAAAAGAACGACTAAGAAAACTTAACTCATTGGAAACGTTAAAAACAGTAAGATCTTTGTTGAAGGCCAGGAAAGTTCTGATTTTTCAGCTTCCAAATAAAATTGAATCTTTCAGATATATACTTACAATGATCTGATCCGCCGAAATTTGATACAAAACATGCACTGAAAATTATGTTGTTTTGATTGTTGTACTTTACACTGGTGTGGTGTAAAGCGTTTCTTTTTTCAGCATTTTTCTCTCAACGGTCTTGGAAATGAATTTTTTTAGTAACGGCTGTTTTGTTAAAATTATGAAGCGGAATTGATGGTATTAAATCTATAATTTTCATATTGCAAATTCTGCGATACGCATCCTTGAAGTAGGCGACATACCTTCTGGTGATGTGTTGGTCACAGTATCCACCAATTTTTTGAAAAAAACAGGCAAGGATCAAAATTCGGTATCTTGCACTAAAAAAATGGCTTATTTTTGCTGTCCACAAGGAATGATAATATTTCCAGGGGGTGTGCGACAAAAATGGAATTTCCGGAGGGGAGGGGGGG